AGTGCCCTGAGGACCATGCAGAGAGGCCTGAATGGCTGCACTTGGTGCACAAGCCAGAGTCTCTTCCACAACCTGGTCTGAACCATGCAAAATCCAACACTGAAGGGCACCTCTTCATTTTGCACGACAAAACAGCCGGTCTGCAATAGCATGGAAAGGAAAGAGAGCCACAGGGAGTGTGTCTGGGTGCATTCAGGGGTGTTGGAGCTGGTGAGGGTGGAGAAAGCGGGTTTTCTCAACACATTACCTGCAACCATCAGAGTGAAGTCAAACCCCTTCTTTACGGACTTTCTGTGGACTTGGGTGGGCAGAGTTGCAAATCCAACGTAATCTTTGTCCTGAGGCAGACAAGAAAGATAGCGTCAGGAGGAGGCGTCCCACTGTCTGGTCCTTCCGAGGTGTTCAGAGAGAGACTCAAAAGAAAACAACTCAAGGGAAGAAAGGCAAAAGAGAGTCCATCTTACAGGTTTCTTACCATAATTGGTCTCTAGTTGTACGGAGGAGACGCTGCAGGGGTGTCAGTGTGCACCTTGTTGGCTCAAACACCAACTTCCTGTGGCGGTGAAACAGGAAGCCAGATCTGCACCCGTATCAGAGCATCGCCATCTCCCATTGGCTGGCCTATTTTCGTTTCCCTCCTTTCCTTCCACCTGTGGGTAGCACACATTTCAAGTTAAAATATCACTGCTTGGAAGGTTGTGTGGGAGCTGACTGACGCACTGCCTTTTCCTCAGTTCATGGGACAAGTTTGTAAATGGTGACTGAGGTCACTTCTCGCCCCCTTGCTGCGACCCATTTCCTTACAAAAAACAGTGCTCAAGGGGGCTTATGAAACAAGCACACACAGAAGAGAGGCTTTGGGTACATTCACATTGCCACATACTCTGCATTCAGTGGGCTCCCTGTGTTGGTTTTTGAAGCTGCATTCGCATGCTGTTTAGCCACAAGCCGTATCAGACCTGTAGTTTCTTGGCAAATACTGCTGTTTGGAGTGTTTTCCCCTCTAACCAGGTTCAGTCCAACTAGAAAACTTAAGCCACATTTAATTTGTACTTCAAAATGGTGTGGACATTTGAGACAGGCATCAAGCATGCGCAGACGAGCATGCATGCACAGGTGACAACTTCACAAAGAAGAAATAAAATCATTATTGAAATCATAATCAAATCAAGATCAGACAAGAGAACAACTTTCTTGTGTGGATGAGGAGAGTTAGACCTAATATAAAGGAGATTACCTGGCGAAAGCAAGCTCACACCTCTCACTGAGTTTGTATACTTACTTAAGGTATATATGTAAGAGGCTCGTTTATAATTATATTTTGGGAATGATTCATGTTCTTATGTGTTGTTTTATACTTTCTGGATGTCCTGTGATCCAGTGCCGGATTTACATATAAGGTAAACAAGCTATAGCTTAGAGCCCCACACTCTTGGGGGCCCAAAAAAATTTAAAAGGAAAAAACAACTGGATGTACATTTCCAAAATATAAGATAAAAACAACAACACCTACATACAACAACAGTGTTTTGTGTTATGTAGGCTCCTATGATGTAAGTAATGGGCCCCGCCTGCTCCCTAAAACATCACTGGTAAAATACACATTTTATTATGTGCAAATGGCTTTAGATTATTATTATGTGCAAATGGCTTTAGATACCTAGTATGTCGATAAATTACCATATAGCATATATTCAACATAAAAAACAGCAACAATTTGTTGTTGACAAAGGACGGCTGGACATATAAAGGGCCCCATTACCTTCAGTAGTTTAGGGTCTCATCAAACCTAAATCCGGCCCTGCCATGCTCATATTATAAAGCAGCTGTTTCTGTGCCCTGCTAGGAGGTGATTATTTTTGTTTTTGTTTTCCAATATATATCTTATCAATAAAAATAAACCTGTGTGTTGTGAGCAATTTTGATTCTGAAAGTGTGGCCCAGAAAAGAAAATTAGAAGCCTTTGAGCCTCTGCATTGGCTCTCTCGCAGCTTCCTTCTGTATTGTGTCTGTTCCCCACCCAGCCTCTAGGGGGCTCCTGCTCTCCCCTGTACTAATACAGAACACAGGAAATAGGCAAGCAAGCCATTTATCTGCTCAGTTGCTTCCGTGCTGCGGCTGTGTGTGATTGGTGGAATCCACAGATTTTGCTCCAGCTGAATTTCTGCTGCTCCCCCACCCAACTGTTTTCTTTCTTTTGTGTGAAGGCAGACCCACCACGCAGAGTGTCTGCCACTATTCAGTTCTGGATGCAACTAAAGCACGTGTAAATGGGGCCTTCCAGACTGTTGCTATTTCCAGGCAGGACTCAAGTTAATGTGCCAGTTTACGGGATGTAGGTGGCGCTGTGGGTTGAACCACAGAGCCTAGGACTTGCCGATCAGAAGGTCAGCGGTTCAAATCACCGCGACGGGGTGAGCTCCCGTTGCTCAGTCCCTGCTCCTGCCAACCTAGCAGTTTGAAAGCACCTCAAGTACAAGTAGATAAATAGGTACCACTCCGGCGGGAAGGTAAACGGCGTTTTCGTGCGCTACTCTGGTTCGCCAGAAGCGGCTTAGTCATGCTGGCCACATGACCCGGAAGCTGTACGCCGGCTCCCTCGGCCAGTAAAGCGAGATGAGCACCGCAACCCCAGAGTCGGCCACGACTGGACCTAATGGTCCGGGGTCCCTTTACCTTAAGTTCAGGTTTTGCCATTATAGTTTGCTTGGGGAGTTTTGCACAGCAAACCCAAAAGATCAGACTTTCTGCGATAAGGAAAGTGATGGGAAAGTGCACTGGGAAGGGTTAGAAAGCCCTCGCTTGGGTGCAGCGTTGCCTGAGCTCCCTACAAACAGATCGGGTTGAACGCTCAGTAAACAGGGGACTCCTGCACCCAAAATACTGTACCTGTAATTTCATTTATTTATTTATTTTATTCCATCGCTGTTGTCCTTTCTTCTGTCATGAAACTTAGGGCAATGCTCTAGTTACAGGTAGGTAGCCATGTTGGTCTGCCATAGTCGAAACAAAATAAATAAAAAATTCCTTCCAGTAGCACCAATAACTAACTTACTTGGTCTCTAAGGTGCTACTGGAAGGAAATTTTATTTTGTTAGGACAATGTATTCACCAGATCTTTAATAACATGTGCCTCCATCCTTGGGCCATTATTGGTAAAGGTACACCTGCCCGTACGGGCCAGTCTTGACAGACTCTAGGGTTGTGCGCCCATCTCACTCAAGAGGCCGGGGGGCAGCGCTGTCTGGAGACACTTCCGGGTCACGTGGCCAGCGTGACATCGCTGCTCTGGCGAGCCAGAGCCACACACGGAAACGCCGTTTACCTTCCCGCTAGTAAGCGGTCCCTATTTATCTACTTGCACCCGGGGGTGCTTTCAAACTGCTAGGTTGGCAGGCGCTGGGACCGAGCAACGGAGCGCATCCCGCCGCGGGGATTCGAACCGCCGACCTTTCGATCGGCAAGCCCTAGGCGCTGAGGCTTTTACCCACAGCGCCACCTGCGTCCCTAATAACTAACTTACTTGGTCTCTAAGGTGCTACTGGAAGGAAATTTTTCTTATTTTGTTAGGACAATGTATTCACCAGATCTTTAATAACATGTGCCTCCATCCTTGGGCCATTATTGGTAACAGGTGCCAATTTAACGCTGTCTTCTCATTCTAAAGTTTAAACTGGGGGGGGGGGAGGAGAGCCTCAGAGCCAAAACTGTCTTAGATCCAATTATTGCAAACCGCTCTGAAAACTATTTTGGCTAAAGGGGCAGGGCATACGTATTATACACAAACCATTCTCATCAGCCCATGCATGGACGCGTAGCCAGGAATTTTGTTGGGGGGGGGCAGTCAAAGTTGTTGAGCTTTTAGGAAATCATCCCGTTAAGACAACATTACGGGGGGCAGGCTTCTGCTGGGAGAGGCAGGCTTTGGCTGGGGGTTTAGAACCTCAGATAATTGAGTAATTTCAATGCTTTTCAGTAATATTTGTGGATATTATTGCCCTCCCCCCAGCTACACCCATAAGCCCCTGCCAGGGATGTAAATTTACCAGTGGTTTTGGCAGGTGAGTGGGGCTGCCTTGACATGAGGCAAAGGAGCAAGTGGGGTTTTCTTGAGGGGAGGGGCACCAGTCCGCTATCCTCCATGCCTATTGCTTGAGACAATTGCAAGCCTGTTTCCTTGTTTTGAAATAGGTATTTCATTGATTTTTGCAGAAGAATAATAAACACAAAAAACTTGGAGTACAGTTCATCAAACACAGTTAGCATCATAAAAGTACACACACAAAAACAAAGTTTGTTCTCGAAGTTGATCTCTCCATAGCGAAACGTGGCTGTGATAAAGATACTGATTTTGTTTATATACTCAAGAATCAAAAACCATATACGCAGAAATTTGTATTTCTTACTTTGCCCTTTTAGCACTCTGCTGTGCTGAGTCAAACATTCGGAGAACATTATTTCCTTTACTCGAGTGAACCATGACTGCAGAGACCCTGACCCGTTTGCCACCTGATCGCTATTCCCATAAGTTCTTGTTTCCCCCTAATGTGTTTTATTTTTGTTTTTTAACACATTACAGCCACAGAGGCTGCACTCAAACTCAGAAGACTTTTATAGGAGGAGGAACTTTCAACCCTCTTTCCCTCTGGCAGTTTTTCTGCTGAAAAGTCTTCCACCCACAACCACATTGCCTTTTCCTCCACTCACTCTTACATGTATTTTTGAAACAAATTGCCAACTTCCGTTTCCCCCATGCGCTCTTTCTCTCTCTCTCACACACACATACACACACACACACAGCAGTGTGTAGCACTGTTGTAAGACTTGTCATTCAGGAAGCATATAGCCTTGAAATGAACATTAAACGTTTGGGAGTTCTTTGCTCAAGTCCATGATGCCTGTCTGGCCAGTCTTACAGGTCCATTCGCAGTGTGATCAGATGCCAAAGTCACAGCAGTGTGTGTGTGTGTGTGTGTGTGTCTGCACTGGTGTAACTCCTTCCCTCATTGCGCAGGTGCCACCCCTCACGCATATGCATATTCAGAGTCTTTCATCACCCACGTTTCCTCTCCTGCCCACATCATACCCTTTGCTTTTTGTACCACGTGGGGGAGCGAAAGTAGCAGTACGGTTTTGAGATTTGGAAGCTTAAGAGTCTCCCCTCTTCCCCACTCTCCTTCATCTTCTGCCATAGCCGCTTGCTCCTCTTGAATCTGTCTCTTGGCTTGATCAAACTATTCTTCTGGCTCCTTCCTGCCAGTCATGTCCTCCAGAAAATAAGCTCTTGAACCGTTTAAGCCGCTGCTGCTGCTGCCGCCACCACCCAGCATGCCTGGCCTACACCTTCCAGTCTACTTTTGGGCACTGCTGATCAGCTTGGCTCTTCAAGGTAGGTCGGAATTGGTTCAAATGGAATTCTCTGTCTTGACTGAGGCTGGAGAGAAAGTCTGCTGGCACAGATACCATGTTTAGGTAGGATGGGCAGATTGGACCTTTGCAGGTTTGGGAATTGCTGGGGTGAATTGCTTGCTGCATGTTGCGTGTGTGTGTGTGAGAGAGAGAGTTTTATTGGAGAGTTCCAGGGCATGGTGTGTAGTTACATGAGGCTGCTACCTTGGTAAAGCTAAGCAGGTTTAGCTCTGGTCAGTGCCTGAATGGGAGACCGCCTAGGAACCACATGGGCAATGCTCTGCGTTCCTTGACAGAAGAAAGGCAGGATGAGAATATAAGAGAAGAAATAAAAAGGAGACACAAAGGTTTTAAAGGAGATAGGTGATCTAGTGCTTCATCAGGCTTGCTCAGGGGCAGAGCTAATGCTTTGCTTCCAGATCCAATCTCTGACATCCTTGGGAAGGACTTGGGGAAACACCTGTCTGAAATTCTGGAGCTCTGCTGCTAATCCATGTTAAGCCACAGGCAGTTAATTTGTAGCCCTGCAAGGACTGCAGTGCCCCTTGGCCCAGGCGCCATGGTCAATAATGAGGGTGGATTTTGGAAATTTAGACCAAGGGCCTCAGGAGAGCTATAGGCTCCCTGCCCCTGAGGTATGGACAATACTAAGCTAGATGGCCTAATAGTCTTGATTTCCTAGTTCCTCCTTCTGCTAACCGAATTAGCAGCCAACTTTAATAATTGTGCAAGTTACAGATTTGCCAGAATATCCTTTGAGACTTCCTGCTTTCAGCGGTAGCTATTTCTTGACGGTATGCATTTGGAGAGGCTGGGTTTTTTCTGGAGTTACTTGTTCCTTGAGGTTTGCTTCCACTTACCTTCAGAGGTGTGGAGAACCCCCAGATGGGGTTACTGCGTGTTCCCATCCTACTCTGATCTGTAGCAGAGCTGTCAATTTCTGGCAAGGGCTGGGGGGACAGCTGGGAATTGTATCTCAGTGAAGGGTCTCTTAACAACTTTGAGCACTCTTAACAAACTACAGTTCCCAGGATTCTTTGGAGGAAGCCATGACTGTCACAGTGCTACAAGCAGGCTTTAAATGTATGGAGTGAATATCGGAAGGATGCTCTGTGTCCATTATTCAGTGGTCTGAATACCTTTACTGTTCTTTCTACATTTGAACATATACAGAATTTTGTTATGATTGGTCTTATTTGGATATATATATTTGGACAAATGGATGGCTTATATTAATATGTATGCTTAAATTAGATTTGATGGATTATTCTTATTATTGTGAGCCAACGTTCTTACTTTGTTCTTTCTGTTACATTTGCAACTTTTTGTTTCCTTTTTAAAAAGATCTACACAATGCCAAAATGCATGTTTAACATCACATCCAGTTTGGCCCGAAGAGCGTTTCAGTGAGAAATGCAAGTTCAGATCCCAGCAGTGCAACCAAGCTCCGGCCAATTAACTCACCCCGCCATCTAGATGCTCTCATCTCATGGATGTTGAAAAAATTGTGTGCTGCTTTTCTTTATAAACTCTGGGCGCTTAAGGAGGAAAGTTAAAAGACAAAATGTAAAACATAGCATCATCTTAAAGGTAAAGGGACCCCTGACCATAATAATAATAATAATAATAATAATAATAATAATAATAATTAATTTATTATTTATACCCCGCCCATCTGGCTGGGCCTCCCCAGCCACTCTGGGCGGCTTCCATAAAAACCAAAAATACAATAAAATCACACGTTAAAAACTTCCCTGAACAGGGCTGCCTTAAGATGTCTTCTGAATGTCAGGTAGTTGTTTATCGCTTTGACATCTGCTGGAAGGGCGTTCCACAGGGCGGGCGCCACTACCGAAAAGGCCCTCTGCCTGGTTCCCTGTAGCTTTGCTTCTCGCAATGAGGGAACTGCCAGAAGGCCCTCGGCGCTGGACCTCAGCGTCCGGGCAGAATGATGGGGGTGGAGACGCTCCTTCAGGTATACTGGACCGACGCCGTTTAGGGCTTTAAAGGTCAGCACCAACACTTTGAATTTTGCTCGGAAACGTACTGGTCCAGTTGTGGCCGACTCTGGGGTTGCAGCGCTCATCTCGCTTAATTGGCCAAGTGAGCCGGCGTACAGCTTCCGGGTCATGTGGCCAGCATGACTAAGACGCTTCTGGTGAACCAGAGCAGCTCACAGAAACAGCGTTTACCTTCCCGCCGGAGCGGTACCTATTTATCTACTTGCACTTGAGGTGCTTTCAAACTGCTAGGTTGGCAGGAGCAGGGACCAAGCAACGGGAGCTCACCCCGTTGCGGGGATTTGAACCACTGACCTTCTGATCGGCAAGTCCTAGGCTCTGTGGCTTAACCCACAGCGCCACCCACGTCCCTTAGCCACATCTTACAAAACCACAAAATGAGAGAATGATACATGTCCAACATGCAAAACAGCAACAGCGACAGCAGTGAGCAATTGAATGATAACCAGGAAAACAGCCAAAGCAACCCTGTAGAAATAGGGTTAATGTTTTGGTAAAACCAAGGTTTTGCCTCGCGACTAAGATCATCCTCATTTATATCACACCACAACAACACACCAACACACACAATACCCTACACTATCCCCTAGCTGTCTTCATCGCCATCATCACATCATCTTTCATAGAAATACAGTAGTACCTTTGTTCTCAAACTTAATCCGTTCTGGAAGTCTTTTCCAAAACCAAAGCGTTCCAAAACCAAGGCACGGTTTCCCATAGAAAGTAATGCAAATGGATTAATCCGTTCCAGACTTTTAAAAACAACCCCTAAAACAGCAATTCAAATGGATTTTACTATCTAACGAGACCAGTGAAAATGAAAGCAATAAACAATGTACTGCAGTCACACAATCAATCAATCAGTCAGTAGCTGAACTGAGTTCCACACAGTCACAAAAACAAAAAAAGAGCCACAAAAACAGAAAATAAATAGCAAAAGCAGACAGACATCAGTTTAACACTCAAAATGGAATTGTGGCACTCAAATCGGAAGTGTGGCACTCAAAACGGAGAACATTCGGCTTCTGAAAAATGTTCGCAAACCGGAACACTTACTTCCAGGTTTGCAGTGTTTGGGTTGCAAGTTGTTTGAGTACCAAGGCGTTTGATAACCAAGGTATCACTGTATAGAAAACTCTCCAGGCTTCCAGGCAGAGGCTTCTCCCAGCCCTACCGGGAGATGTCAGGGATCGAACCTGGCAACATCTGCATGCCAAGCAGATGCCCTGCCACTGGCCTACAGTCATTTTCCAGCTGTCCCTACTCCGCTTCTGCTTCTTCAGCAAGAGTGTGAGAACCACGCTCACAGTAGTATTGGTGGCGGCGGTAACAAAGCCGCAAGGCTGCTTTCAGGCAAACCCCACTTCTCACCAGTGTGGGTCATAAAAGCCTGTGCTGCTGCCACAGGGAGGAAGTCGGCTGAAGGCACATCAAGTCATTCTGCCGGTATCTTGGTGTGATCTGCCACTGTCAGCAGCTTAAGAGCTACCAGATACTTTACAGGTGCTGCTGTTGTGTTAGCAACAGCCCAGAGCACAGGAATGTTGCCTGCAAAACTTGTCACCAGTGTTTTGGAGAGGCAGAGAGAGAGAGAGAGAGAGAGAGATATTAATCTGCTCCTGCCTTCTTCTTTTTTTCAATTACGTTTTATTAAGTTTCAACTTTTTAACATGTACAATCAAAACACAAATTTGTCTTTTATTTTTGCACCCCGTTTTCCATGTTGTTTCTCTCCTTCTGCTGCACCCTGTCTTCTATTAAATCATAACAATATTATAATCTAATTACTTCTGTTGCTCATAGCTCAAATCCTGTTTGTGAGTTCATCGTACTATAAATTTAAACTGACTAGTCACTGCTTCACCATCTCCCAGCAAGGGTGGAGAAATTCGATTCGGTTCATATTTAAAACCGAACCTATCAGATTCTCACATTCCAGAACAGTAGGAGAACTGAAATGCCTCTATCCTTCACAGTGCACACCTCTCTGGATGTTGCGACGCGCTTCTCCAAACAAAAATGCATATATTAGGAGAAAGCGTGCGTACAAATTAAGACGTTTGTAAAAATAACATGCAAAAATGCATAATATTGTGGGGAATCACATCCATAAATGAGTGCATTAGTCAAAACTGCAAAAAAAGACAAAAACACTGATTCTGAGCAGAAAGCCGTATTAAAATGCAGGTGAATTTTCATAGGAATTTTTTTAAAAAGTAGATTGCTGCAAAATGTGGAGAACTGAATTTCTGACTAGAAAAATGAGACACTTCAGAAGAACAAAACTGAGAGATCCTTCCATTCCAACCTTTCACCCAAAATCTCCTCCCTGGTTAAGAAGAAGAAAAATGGCTTCCAGCTGACTCAAGTCACCCTCCCCTCCTGTGCTTCTATCAGCTTATTGTGCAAAAGAGCTGCAAGCAGAGTGCTTGCTTGCCACACAGAAGGTCCCACCAGCCTTAATATATGGAGGAACTGGCAGTCAAAGTTTGCATTATGGAGAGAAAACATTTTCAGTTAGTGTAGTGGTTCTCAAAAAAAAGTTTCTCTGGGCCACACTTTCAGAATAAAAATGTGCTCGTGCTGCACCAGATTTTTCTTTGATAAGAAATACACTGGAAAACAACTCCCGACAGCGCTTGATTTATAACACACGACACAACTACTTTATAATATGATCACGGGACATCCATAAAGTATAAAACAAGGCAGCTACGTAAGAACGGGAATCTTCCCCCAAATTTAATTTTACAGAAGCCTTATGTACCTTAAGCATGGATACAAACTGAATGAGAGGTGTGAGCTTGCTTTTGCCAGGAAATTTCATTTATATTCGGTCTAATTTGAGACAAGCAAACTTTCATCTCATTAACTCAAAGAAGCTTCACTTTTCTGACCTTTCATATTGGGCAAAGTTGAAAAACCCTGTTCATAACAATACGTTGTGGAGAAGTTTAGA